GGGGCCGGGGGGACTGACTCTTCGTTCGTACGTGCGGTTGTCGGGCGTGTCGATGAATGGGTAGTTGAGCGCTCCGTGCGTGTCAGCGAAGCACTCGAGCTGTGTGACGATGCCCAGGTCCTTTGCCGTCTGCCACGCCCTATTCACCGACCGCCAGCCGGCGTCGTCCTGCCACCAGACAGGCGCCAAAACAGTTGCCCACCACAGATGAATTGTCACAGACAGACAGACAGGGCATGTAAGCTGTACCATGAGTATCCAGTTTCTGCACGAGGCCATTCTGTGGAAGTTGAGCAGGTCTCCCAACGCACCCTCAAAGGAGTGTGACCCATCCACGCTGAAGAGGTCGCACCTGCACACACGTCAACACACACAGGCCATCCGTCCATCCATCCATCCGTCCATCCATCCATCCATGAGTGGACACCTGAGTTGCGGCATCATTCGCTGCATGTAGGGGATGGAGTTGCGCGAGTCGCCCCACACCACTTGGAACCTCTCGCCATACAGACCCCTCAACACTCCCGCCTGCATCGCAATCCATCCATCCATCCATTCAGCAGCAGCGGAGCCTTGTGTGTGTGTGTGTGTGTGTGTGCACTCGTCCGTCCGTACGTTGCCCTGTGTGTATGGGTGTTGTCCGATGTCGAATGAGATGACCCGTGCGGTGGGGTTGGCCGTGAGGAAGATGGCACTACTGTGGCCACCGTTGAAGCCGGTCTCATATATCTGCCAATCCATTGCAATGGAAGGGACACAAACAAACAAACGGCACAGACAGGGCCGGGCCGGGTCGCACACAATCCAATGTGTGCCAATGGGCCGGCTGATTGTGCCTCACCGTTTTGACGAGGGGGTTCCTTGAGTACTCGAAGTACATCTGCAGAACCTTCTCGCTCTCTGCAGACAGCACCGATACCACAACAGATCCACCCACAAGAGAAACAGATGTGAGTGTGCCACCATGCAGTACTGTACGTATGTACCTACCTGCAATGTGTCCCTCCGAGTAAGAGAAGTATCGTTTAGCTTCCCTGTCCATGCTGCATGACGCCATCCATGCACACAGTGCATGCCAGATCTGATCTGAGTGTGCCTTCATCTTCATGGAAGAGCCCGTACGTCAGCGCCATGGACTTGGCGTTGGCGAGTGAAGATTCCTGCCACCATGGCAATGGAGCACCCACCGCACAACAGGTCAGAGAAGCCAAAACCACCACAAACATCATTCCGCCGCATTAATTTACAAACGGCGAGACGCGGGTCGTCCTGGGGGGCGTCTCCCTTGTTCGCTCGTCACTGCCATGCAAGTATAGTGACGAAGACAGCCATGCACAGTATACGCAGTTCCCGCTTGGCTATGCGAAACAACATTTATCGGCACTCCAAGGTAGAGAGAGAGTCGTAGCAAGACACAAACGAGGCGTGTCCATCCATCCATCCATCGGGAGATGTCCGTACATACATGCACGTGTGGCGCTATCGATGATACGGGTCTGGCCTACGACACACTCTTTCAGTGCCTTTCAGGGCCCGCCAGAGCCTTGACCGCTTTCAACAGTCGCCTGCAGTCGGCCTCTGCAGACAGCATTCCACCAGACCATAGGGCAATCGATATCGCTGCTTCATGTAGTGTGAACTCGTGTGCGCTTGACACTAGTGCCTACCTGTTTGGAAGGTGAGGACCTCTCTCATTCGCCTATGGAGCTCCCCGTTATCACACCCCCGCGACAGCACCTGCGCGTAGCAACAGTGTGGGCTGATGCGTCTGGTTGCCAGCCCCTCGTATGCATGTTCGTTCCCTTTTACATACGTCTATTGAGAATCCATTCGACAGCAGCTGGGCCATGTACCCCTCCAGACCATGCGAGGCCAACCAGTCGTAAAAAGCCCCAACCTCCTGAAGGCACACCAAGGGAACCAATCAATTAGATGAAGGAGTGTGTGTGTATGTGCCTTCCTCTGTCTCGCGGGTCACCGATTCTTCACGGGTCGTGTTCAACTTGGAGACCGACAAAGAGCTGACAGCCTTCCGGATGGCGGCGGCATGCGGCCCCACACTCCTGCCTCTCCGCTGTGTCGGCGGCATTGGCGGACGAGCAGCTGAGGCGCCATCATACTCGAGATCCTCTCTTCTCTCGACGGCTGCACGAATGACAATGCATTGATTGCATGAAGGGCCCTTCATGATAGATGCGTCTGCAGTCATAGACAGGGAGTCCTCTCACTCGGTGTCTTGCTCTCAAGAACCGCCAGGGTGGCCCGAACAGCGTCTGCGTGCATGGCATGGAACAGAGAGAGGGGGAGATAAACAGACAGCTGGGGAGACGGCTGGGCGGGTTTGCCTTGCAAGAAAACGTGCCTTTGGCTCTTGCGGGTTTCTTCATCAGTGCAGACGGGTCACGGCACACGGTCCCAGCATAATGCAGCTGCCTAAGCGGAAAGAAAGAGCCACATGTACACACACGCGCGCACAAAGAGCATGCCAGGAGTTTGCCAGCATTTGCTGTCTGTCAAGCATCTCTCTCACGGTGGTCTGTGGGTGGATTCATGTCGCCGTGTCGCAGCTTGTGTCTCGACGCTCCTCATGACCTCAGCCCTCCTGCCGGCGTCCGGTGCCTTCATCGAATATCCGTCCATTCTCCTCCACTGCAGTTGTCCATGCCTGTTGCAAATCGACGAATCCTGCCGCATGCACACTCTTCTCCGCATATCGTGACCAGCAGGTCTCTCTGCTGCACCAGACAGTGGAGACGTTGAGGTGCCGTCAGCGAGCTCAGCTCAGATCTTGCGAGCTTAGACCACCTTAACGGCTATTTCTCTAGTGCTCAAAGGAGATACGGATAGGCGGTGGAGTACGATACCATCAGCATTACTGAGAATGGAAGATCAGCAGATCCAGCAGATCCAGACGCCCTCGTCGCACCTCACCCAAACTCCCAGCATGACGGACGTCGCCGGCATTATGCTCGACTCAGACGACCAGGCCAGCTTTGCTGACGCCATCTTCAACCCCCAAGACACCAACAGGCAGAACGAGCGGCGGATCCAGCAGACCGTTGACCACCTGGTCGACAGCCCCCGGAGCGAGGCCCTTTCCGGGCTGGTCGAGGAGGCCATGGCCGCCCCTGAAAGCAGCACCCCTACAGTCTACTCTGTCACCCCCAAGGTCTGCAGTGAGGCCAACACGGACGAGCACTGGCCTCCAGAGGGGCCGTATCAGCTGCCCGGCAGTCGGCGGATGCCCAAGGGAGTGAAGAAAACCACTCAGCCTGGCCAGCACCACCAGCACAAACATCATCATCAAGGCAAGCAGCGGCCCACTGCTGCAGCAAGGGCAGAACTGGCAGCAGCAGCAGGCATCGCCTGGGGTGGGTGGCACTGGAGCGTGCGTGTGGTCATGGGCGTGATTGCGCTGGGGGGTGTGGGCGAGTCTCTCTATTTAACGGCGCGCCACTTCTCGAGTGAGAAGAACAAGGGAGGCTGCGCAACCGGCGGATGCAGCGCTGTCCTCGATGGTACGTCAAGACGTCAGGCAGTCAGTCAGGGGCCATATATATAGATGAGCGAGCGTATGAGAGAGAGTGATTAATGAACGTCACACCCTGCTGGTCAAGCAGGTGTGTACATGACATGTCTGTCAATCTACTATCAATGTCCATCAGGTCCGTTTTCTGAGTTCCTGGGCTTCCCCGTGGCTGCCTTCGGGCTGCTGGCCTACGTGGCTCTGGCGTGCCTCACTCTGGTGCCTCTGATGACGCGGATGGTCAGGATGGTGGCGCGCAAGCGGCGCGCACTGAGTCTGGCCAAGTCCTCGTCGGTGCAGCCCATCAAGCAGTGGGACAGCTCGAGCACTGAGGGCTGCGACGGTGTGTGCGAGTGCCTGAGCGATGGCGGGAGGGGCAAGTGGGAGCGGGTCAATCGGGTGCTCATCCTGGCTTGCGTCGCCGCCATGGCCACATTCAGGTGGGCGGGGCGGCCGCGGGGAGGAGGGAGGCGATCGGAAGCTCCATGTGTGTCTGTCTGTGTGTTGACTGACGGGTGTGGTGTGGTGTGGTGTGGCTGTTGTGGTGGTTTGGTGCATGCAGCTGTTACTTGATGATCTTGATGGGCTACTACATCCAGGAGTTTTGTCCCTACTGCATCATCAGTGCGTGCGTGTGCTTCATCCTCTTCGTCATCGCAACCACCACCCGAGTCGTCACACCGACCAAGATGGCTGTCCTGACATGTACCACCATGGCAGGTGTCATGGCCCTCTTCGCTTGGGTCCAATTCAGAACCACTGTACTCGGTGAGTTGCCAAGCGAGCCGACACTACACAACACGAGGACATCGAGCAGACAGAGGCCTCCCACATATCATCTGTTGGGTTTTGTGTGTGTGTAGGTGTGACCACAGTGAGTGACTTCGCCGCGCAGAACATCACCTTTGCCGACTACTTCTCCACAGCTGGCGGCAAGTCCTTCACACTCACCGAAGACTCGGAGCGCAAGCAGGCCAAAATGGCGGCACAACTCATCAAGGACAAAGGTGGGTGGGGTTCCTGGTGGGCCACTGCACCACTCCACAGCACTCACTACACACCCTCACATTCCAACCACAGCACTCACTGACTGACTACATCCATCCATGTATCTATCAATCACTTCTGGCTGTGTGTCGTTTCACGCCACGCAGATGCGAACATCTACGGATCATGGCTGTGCTCAGCTTGCCGGAAGCAGAAGAAGCTCTTCGGCCAGGAGTGGGAGTCCGTCAAGCCCAACTACGTCGAGTGCGCCCGCAGCGGCCCCGACGCCCAGCCGCAGAAGTGCCTCGACAAGAACATCGCCTCCTACCCCACATGGGTCATCGACGGGCAGCACTACGAGGGCATCCTCACACTCGAGCAGCTCGTGACGCTGCTGCAGGGAAATGAGCTCCGCCCGCACCAGCAGACCAAAGGAGTGGATGAGGACGGCCTGGCGGGCGTGATGGTGTCTGGCGCTGGGGCGGTCAGCCCGCAGCAGACCGACCAGCAGCCCACTGCAGAGCTCGTTGCCCACCTCAAGGAGAAAGGTCAGTCAGTCAACAGACCAGACACGAGCAGAGCATCTGCCCCCTGTGTACTGACTTACACACACGTTGATTGAAACCCACACAGGTGCGAAGCTGTACGGCCAGGGCAGCGATCCGAAGGTCGACAGCATTAAGGAGTCCTTCGGTGAGTCCTTCGAGGCCATCGCCTTCGTCGACTGCGAGGTCACCCCCAGGGAGTGCGAGGCCGCCAACCTGCCACCCGTCCTGCCCGTCTGGAGCATCGACGGCGCCATGCACTTCGACCTGCTCGACCCGGAGAGCGTCGCTGAGGCGACAGGCTTCCAGTGGAGCACTCTCGATGCGGCCCGCCAGGCCTTCGCACACGGCCTTGCTGATCACATGAAGGAAAATGGTACGTACGTAATATATGGAATGGTGGCGGGGAAGGAAAGTGGTTATGCATTGTATTGTATTGGGTGGTCTGTCTCGTGTGGTGTGTGGGGTCTCATACAGATGTGGTTGTGTACGGGTCTCGTTTCTGCATCTACTGCAAGAAACAGAAGACCGAGTTCGGCGAGGCCTTCGACAAGCTCAGGAAGCACCAGATCTACGTCGAGTGCGAGGCAGCCCCCAAGGAATGCGAAGTCATGGAGGTCAGTCAGCAGCCCGCTTTGATTGACCTCTCCCCCACCCCACCCACGCACACCATCTGGTTTCATTCATCTGTGTGTTTGCAGATAAAGGAGACGCCCTCATGGTTCCGTTTCAATGACGCCTCCAACCGGACGGTCAACAACACGGTCGACTCGATGACGGGCGTGCAGTCACTCGAGACACTGGCCAAGTGGAGCAACTTTGACCACGAGTACATGGACAACACCACACGGATGAGAACAAGACAGCTGCAGGGGGCGCCGAATGCCACAGCAGTGGCAGAGAAACTCAAGGACGCTGGTACGTACGCGGCATAAGAGACACCGCTGGCTGGCTGACGTGGCGCTTTTCATTTGTCTGTTGTCGTCTTACTTCCTGTAGGTGCTGTGATGTACGGCATGAACTGGTGCCCTTACTGCGCGCAGCAGAAGGCCATGTTCGGTGATGCCGTCGACCAGATCACCTACGTCGAGTGCGTCAACGACCCCACACTGACCAACGAGTGCGCGCCTGCGTGTGGCATCCCGTCATGGACAATCAAAGGCCAGTGCTACACCGGCCTGCAGCCATTGGAGCGACTAGAGGCTATCGCATCCACTCGGCAGCTGAGCAGTGCGCCCACTGTTGGTGTCGATGTGAAAATCGGGAACATGCGTGGGGCGAGGAGGTGGCTGCAGGTGGCGGATGGCACCACCCCACCTCCCGACGATGCTGATGCTGATGGTGATGGTGATGGTGGTGAGGACATGGGAACCAGGGTGGCTGAGCAGCTCGACAGCGTCGGTGAGCTGAATGGGCGGGCAAGGGGGGAGTGCCCGTTGGGCATGGCGCAATCAACAACACTGTGTGTATGTGTCTGTGTTGGTGTGGCATGGCATGGCAGGAGCTGTGATGTACGGCATGAACTGGTGTCCCTATTGCGCGCAGCAAAAGGCCATGTTCGGTGATGCAGCTGACAAGATCGACTATGTCGAGTGCGTCAACGACCCCACACTGACCAACGAGTGCGCGCCGTCGTGCGGCATTCCCTCGTGGGTCATTGAAGGCCAGTGCTACACCGGCCTGCAGCCGCTGGAACGCCTGGACGCCCTATCGGGAGGCGGGAGTCGGTGAATGAGGCCCACCCACGACAGTGGGGAGGGGGCACATGCTGGTTTGGGTGTCTGCCTTGTGGATCGCAATGAATGGTGTCTGTCTGGACTTGCTTGAGCGTGTATGTGACGATGTATGGTGTGATGTGCTGATGGTGTGGTGGTGCGTGTGTAATGGAGACAGTGACCGATGGCTGAAGGCAGGCAGGTGACGGTGTGGTGTGGTGTGGTGCGATGTGGTGCGAGTGATGCGGTCGGTGTTTGGTTGACTGTCAATGCAGTTTTGATGTATGCATACGGATGGATCGATGGATGGATGGACGGGCCGGGAGGGAGGGAGCTGTCAGTGAGGTGTTCGGCTGCCTGCTGTGACGGGCATTTCGTACCATTTTCTCCGTCAGTTGCGAAGAGGCTATCAAGACAGACAGACAGGAAGAGAGACAGACAGACAGAGATGAATCAGTGAATGAAGGGATAAATGAAGGGGGGACGGATCGCAGGTGCGTACGTACGGAGGTACATGGATGTGTGTCTACGGGCAACTCGAGCGGGTCAGAATTGGTGCAGCCCGTGGTGTGGTGTGTGTAATGTGATGTGATGCATTGCGGTCTGGTGAAGTGTCTGAAGGATCGATGGATGGAAGCAGGGAGGGAGGCACGTCTGCATGTCTGTCTGTCTGCCTACATACATACATACATCCATACATACACATCTGTCTGTCTGTATACATTCATTCATTCATTGGCAAGTTGGTGCTACGAAGGTGAAGGTGCATCCATCGGTACACATACATGTAGGTACCGATCGCACATGCACTGCCACCCCGTACACGTATTCCCATATCTAAACGCTGGTTTTGCTCCTCCATGAGATGTGATGATGTGATGATGTGCCATCTATCTGTGTGTGTGTGTGTGTCACTTCTTCCCAAGGGTTGGCCGAGACCCCCCACTATTTTGTACAGACGGTGGGCCAGAGAGGGGCTTCTTCGGCGTGATTTGACTCGGCTTGGCTGCCTGCTTCATTCATCGCATACTTGCTCTAAGTGTTCTTCTCCCTCGCTCTGGCTCGATCGCTGGATTGGTTGCTCCTGCGCGCTCGTGTACATGGATGGATTCCTGCTTTATCGACATACACTGGCGGCTGCGGCTGTATGGATGCGTACATGGAATGCATACGTACATGCTTACACATGAATCAGCCACACATGACATGCATACATATATCCACATCTCTGTCCGCGTAAGTGGCCGTCTGTCTCCCTCCCTGCCTGTGTGCGTACATGGCCAATTACTGATTTCTTTCCGCCCTCCACACTCACGCTCACTCATGCCATGTGATGCACTCACTCACGCTCATACGTACAATGCTCACACGCACCTACGCACACGCTCGGACAGACAGATGAGAGAGAGAGGTAGGGAGGGAGGGAAGTAAGTAAATGTCTGTCGGAGAAGGACGTGAGTGGGGCCCTGTAAGATCGGTCGGTCGGTCGGTGTTTTATCGCTCGTGATTGTTGCTCGTATATCATTGCTTGCGTGTTTATTTATTTGTGCAATTGTTTTGGCCTGGTTGGGTTGAGGTTGGTGTGATACAAACCCTGGTGTTTCTTATGTTGTTATTACAGGGCTCCTGAGCTCCTGGCGGCCGACCTGACCTTCGGTGAGTGCAGGCCTTCCGTTGTCTTACTTGCGTACAAACACATGATTACTTCCTGACTGACAGGGTGCTCCTACGCATAGCATTTCATACGTGTGTGTGTGCGTGTCGCTGATGATTTAAGCCGGCCGACGATCCACCGCCACAAGCCCACAGGCCCTTTTCGCTCGACACGACAATTGCTGGTTGTTCTGTTGCCTTAATTGCCTTTTTTTCGTTAGCATTCATTGCAGCCCCCCTCCTCGTTTTTCATTTTTTGCCGCCATGTGATGTGCGTGCGAGCACGGTGCGGCGAGCGGCCCTTCGAGACTCTGTCAGCTTGCCTGCCTGCCTAACTTGCCTTTCTGCCTCTGGCACGCCCACGCACCTGTCCGTCCCGTCCGTCCGACCCACGCAGCCAGCCTTTCAACGACACAGCCGATCGACCGATGCGATGCCCGTGCATGGACTAGTTGATGTTTTATATTGGTTCGTGTTGGCAGTCGTTTTTCCCTTCCCCGACCTCACCCATATATCCCTGCCCACCCACCACACTGACTCACCTCCTGGCGGCGGGGCTGCATGTGGGTTTGGGGGGGGGGGGGGGG